CCCCCCCCCCCCCCCCCCCAAATCTCCCTCTCTCTTCTGTATACGGCGTTGGATATGGTTTCGCTGCACTAGATTTGTACTGCATTTTTACAGGTTCCGCTGAAGGCATTCTCTCAAAACTTCCACAAAAACCATGGACGGTACTGTTTCGTTCTGAAATTTATTCAAATAGATCTGTTGTTTTTATGATTATATCTGTATCCAGTGATTATATCTGCATTTTATGATTATATCTGCATTTTGCGATGTGTATATTTAGTCCAGTGATCTATTTCTGCTGTTAAGCTGATTCTAATTTCTATTTAAGCCATCTTATTGGTGGAAGATTTGAACTTTCAAGCGAATTGTATGTATCTATTTAAGCCATCTTGGTGGAGGCTTTAAACTTTTGAAGGAATTATTTGATTCTATTTAAGTCATCTTGATGGAAGCTTTAGAACTTTTGAACAAATTATTTTTGGGTTTGCCAAGGTATACAGTGTTGTAGAATAACATAATTGTCTATGGGCTTATCGTGTGAGGTGTTCAATGTTGCTTTTAAGCTAGAGGTAAAGTTGTGACGTTGTGTACATCTTCCCCCAAGGCCTACTCGTGAGTGACATATAATATAAATGGTTTGTTTGGTTGAGTTTTTTTTAATGTTCAATGTAGTGTTTAACTTTTTTTTAATATATTTCCCGTCAACAATTAGTGTCTTGTGTCTTCTCTCACAGTCAGGTTCTAAGCTTTTAGACTACTTTTCTTCAGCATTTAAGAAAATGATCATGTTGTTTCTAAATTTGGCATTCACGTACAGCTCAAGTTTTTCTCTAGCTGGCATACTTCAAGGTCATGTTGGAGTGACATCAAATAGAAATGTCTATAAGAGAATTAGGACTTTTTGTACCACTGAAGGTGCGTCGCTGCAGTAATAAGTGACTTTAGGCATTCTTGTTAAGTATGAATGCAAAATTTTGTTTTAGGAGTATGGACTTTTATGTGGCCTACATTTCTTGATTGTTGGGTATGCCAAGTGAAAACATGCCTAGGAGAAAACTAAATTCAATTGTGTGAAAAGATGTAATCTACGAGGATTCATTGATGTCTAAAGCTCTAATCTTCAAGCTTTTTTCATTAACATAAGCTACTTATAAGATATTTGAAATTATACTGGCAGCCAACAACAACAACTCAGTATAATCCCAACTCCATTCGGGTGTTGGGTTAAGATGTACGCAGTCTTACCTCCGCAAAAAACAGAGGTGTTGGTTTCTCTAGACTTTAGATGTATTGCTGCATTTACTGTCCAAAACTTCATAAAAAGTAAGAAGCAACAAAAGTATAATGTGTCATTTTAATTTCATCTATTATGTGTCCAAAACTAAAATATTGGCAATAATGACTCTTTTAGCTCCATTGACAATGGACTGGTAAAGCAGCCATAGCTACACCATATTTGTCATTTTTGTGATGATCTTCTTGAGGACATGTATGATTTTAGGGTAGTTGTATTTCTTTATTTTTACATGTTTTGCATAATTTTGCCTGCTTTAGAAGCATTTTTCTCTCTTGTAATTCTTTCATTTGGTGACGTGCATTTCTTGTTTGTGCTTATTTTCTTCTTCACTCTCAACTAGGTGGGTGTACACAGGTTACTAAGATATTTTGTAATTCATTTCTTTGGTTGATTTGTCAGACTTGTCGATCAAAAAGTGTGTGCCGTGTGAAGCAAAGGACTTGAGGCCTATGACTGAAGGAGCTGCAAATGTATTGATGAAACAGGTGTGGCATCCAGTCACCGTGTTATGCATATTTTACATTATCTGCCACTAACTAGTTGTTTTCCATCCTCTCCGATGGAGCCAAAATTTCACCATTTTTTGGCTTTGGGGTGTGATGGAATAAATTAAAATGGATCTCTAAACTATCTGCGCTTCTTTAATTAATGAAGTAGCAGTTAGTCAAGCAATGCAACTTTCGACGTTGAGCCGGGGGTCTCTTTGGAAACAGCCTCTCTACTTTCGAGTGGGGGTAAGGTCTGCGTACACACACCCTCCCCAAACCCTACTCTTGTGGGATTTAACTGGGTTGTTGTTGTTGTTTGTTGTTGCCACTAACTAGTTGATCGGTATCCATTGCCATTTCCTCTTCTTTTCAAGATGTATAATTTCTACACAAATAGATATCATACCTACGTTCACTAATTTCTATACTTAGGTACCTCAATGGACTTTGGTGAATGATGGCGGAACTTTGAAGCTGCACAGGTCCTGGAAGGTCAAAACTTTTGTGAAAGGAATGTCCTTTTTAGAACTGGTTGCTGATCTTGCTGAGGCAGAAGGTTCTCAAACTACTTTACGCAAATGGCTTAATTGTTTAGAAAGAATTTTTAGATGTACTTTCTAAGGGCTTTTTCTTCATCCATTTGAACACACGATCTGCATTTTTAAGCATGACTTTGTGTGCGCTTGTGCAGGTCATCATCCAGATCTCCATCTTGTCGGATGGAACAACGTGCAAATTGATATATGGACACATGGCGTGGGTAAGGATTCATTCTCTTGGATCAGCCATTTTTAAGTGATGTGTTTCTTTCCTGAATTATACATATCTACTTCTTTCTCATTGACTGTCATTTTTTGTGATGAATCGAACACACTTTAGCACCTCCCCCCATCCCCACACATTTTTGGAGGTTTGGGGGGGGGGGAGGGTGTGTGGGAGATGTTCCCGTACATTATCTCTCCAACGCAAGGAGTAGAGAGACTGTTTCCTAGATGACCCAAGACTCTCATAATGATGTTATAATTTAAATATTGTACTACCTATAAGTTTCCATTAGCTTAGATGGAGCCAAATATTCACTATTTTTTGGGTTTGGGGTATTGATGGAATAAAGCAAAATGGCTCTCTAAATAGTTTGTGCTTCTTCTAATTGTGAAGTAGTAATTACTTAAGGCAACTTTCAATGCTCATCATAGGTCATCCGGTAATTACTACCTATAAGTTTCCATTAGCTTAGATGGAGCCAAATATTCACTATTTTTTGGGTTTGGGGTATTGATGGAATAAAGCAAAATGGCTCTCTAAATAGTCTGTGCTTCTTCTAATTGTGAAGTAGTAATTACTTAAGGCAACTTTCAACGCTCATCATAGGTCATCCGGAAATAGTCGCTCTATGTTTTGAACATAAGGGTCAGGTTGCATGCGCGATTACCTGTGGTGCTTGAGCTGGGGATCTCTTTGGAAACCGCCTCTCTACTTTTGAGTAGGGGTAAGGTCTGTGTACATTCGTTCTCCCCAGACCCTACTTTTGTGTGGGTTGTTGTAATACCTAAAAATCATACTAGAAGTGCCATTTTTTTTTGTCATTTCAGCAACTTTATCTAAAAACTACCTTCAACAATTACCTTCTACACAGTAAAAGAATTAAATGTGGTAAAAATCTGGTTGATTTGTAGAAAGAGAATGCCACCAAACATGCACTATATATATATTTCTGCAGGTGGACTCACAGAAAACGATTTCATACTTGCTGCCAAGATTGATAAGCTGAATGTGTTGGATCTTTTGAGGAGGGAAGTTCCTAAACCTGCAGGACCCCACTCCTAGTCTCTCTTCAATTGGTTTGTGAAACCATATCATTGAATAAGTTGTTTCTTGTCACTAATTGTAGATTTATAGACAAAGGCTATTGTGGATTGTGAAACCATATCATTGAATAGTACGTAGTTATTAGTTATTATGAGTTGGTTCTTTTCAACTTATTTTTAGTTGAATTAAGTTCATTTTTCAAGTAAAATTAGGCTCTGTTTGGTACATAGAATTCAAATTATAGATTTGGAATTGGGGACAATTCCCATTTTGCAATTTGGTAGCACAAAAATATGGATTTGGTAATGCCAAAGATGAATTGGTATTGAAGAATTCAATTCCATCCAAATCATTTTTATAGAATTTCAACTTTCAATTCTATTCCAGCTCTGTCAATTCCGTATACCAAATGGACCTTTAGAAAAATTTATGTAGAGTAATCCTACTTTTTAACGGGTTAGTAATAAACTCACATTTAATATTTGCAAGAAACCTTTCAAAGTAATTGCACAAAATGCATCCAAGTTAACTGTGCTAGTTTACTACCGGCTTGTTTTTTTTAGTTGAAATTTTAGAGTTGGATGTTGAAAGAAACTGGAAAGAGTTGGAAGAAACCGAAAGGAGTTGGAAAAAATTAAAAATAGTTGAAAAATGTTGGAAGAATTAAAGTGTTAAAAAGTAATTCAATTAAATGATCACTCAAATAAATATGTAAGAAAATTCTAATTTTGGATAAAAAAGAATTCATCCGTGCTCGTGTCTGAGGTGGTATGTTATAAATTTAGATATGTAATATTATTGTATACCTATCATATATAGATACTTTTTTAAGTCGTTGTTGGAAGAAACTGAAAAGAGTTAAAAGAAATTAGAAGAAGTTTAAAATAATTGGAAATCTATTTTTCCAACTCAAAAGAACAAAACCTTAAGAGCTGGTGTGTTCCATGTAACAACTCTAAAAGATGAGTTTATTTCATGATCGTATTGAAGGTCGGGTTATAATCAACAAACCCAAAAAATTATCGGATTATTGTATATAAACTTTGCATTATTCTATTACTAGATACATGTCATTCTAAATAAAACATCAATTTTCTTTATATAAACACCATTTCAATAAATATTGCACTGTTCTTTAATATCCACTTCTACTTGCACTAAAGCCTCAGGATGCACATTGACACCACCTGACATAGCTTTAAGGTAAGAGAAAGAATCTGAATACTATAATAATTGAATAATGAAAGAATTGTGTTCAACCTTTTATGGGATTATTGTAAATTATAACTTGACCTCTAATTTAGGCACCTAATAATTTTATTTTTATAATATTATTGCACGAAACGCACTCTACCGTTAGTATTAGAATAACTTGGATGTATTTGATGCAACTACTTTGAGATGGTATATTGTTTTCTGCAAATATTAATAAAGATATGACTATTATTATTAGTAGTATGTTAAAAGGTCAAATTAGTAAATTTTTCATAAAATTATAATATTAGATATCATAAGAAGATCCAAAGGTAACTGACAATGCAAATATGCAATTCTTAAGCATTCCCTCTGTCTCAATCCCGGTTTAATTATCCACTTTTCGAAATAACTTTAAGTTCTAAAAATGAAGTTAGTATAACAAACAAAATTCTTTAAAAATTAGTTTGTCTTTCATTATTGGCAAATGGCAACAATGCTTATACTTGGAATATGATTTTTGGGGATTTTTTCGATAACTTGAAAAAAGGCATAATATGGTTCATGAATTTTAATCCACCGAAAAATAACAATAATAGTATCGTATTTGAAAAAAAATTGCACGTTAACAAAAACGCAACTTATACAAAATCATTATACACTACACTTTATCGATGTTTATGTCGATGGCTAATAAAATTGCATTCTATTTTTCGCCCTTCTCTATAATTACCAAGCTTAAAATACAAGCATACAACCAAAAAACAAAACATACAAAACAAAATGAGGTGGTGGCATAATGATACAATAGCACAAGTTCTGGTAAAGAACATACCTACACTCATTTCCCTATAGTAAAACCTTTTAGAAAAGAAATGCACCTTACCTTCTCATACATAATCTCTTCTTTCTATCGGCCGCAACTGTTAATTCCAATGCCAAATTATGGCAGCAGATTTCTTCGAATTCGAATGGAAGAGAATCGAGCAGAAAGAGTCTTTTTTTCATTCAAGCAGCCAAAAGATGCACAGTTGTATGTCACACCTGCACAACAACCAAAAAGAATTTTTAATTTACACCAACCCCTTGAAATATACGTAAGTATATAATACTATAATTAAGAAGAGTTGGTTTTAGAAGTTACTAAAAGAAGCACTAATCAATTTCCAATTGTTGTGATTCTATTTACGATGATCTAGTGCTATTGTCTTTCAATCCTAGGGTGGAATTTACATGAACAAATCTCATATGAAGGTTATGGAATGGTGTCAAACGGTGTCAAATAAAACCCGGTGCCAAATCACACCCCGGGGGTGAGGGTGGGGTGGGGGGGGGGGCTAGTGAAAGAGTAATGGAATTTCTAAGAGCTTTATTGCATCATATTCTTGTTCATTATGAGATTCTATGGTTAAGTGGCTGAATATAATGAGGCCATAAATGATATTATAAAATATTTAATACGCAGCAATTATTTTGATCACTTTAATTGATACTTCCTTTGCCCATTGCCAATGGAGTTAAATGAGTCAATTTTGGACAATGTTTTAGCTTCACTAAATCAAAATGACACAATTAACTTTCATTTCTTCTTACTTTCTATGAGGTTTTGGGCAGTAACTATAGCAGTGCATCTAGGGTCTAGCAGAACGATCCTCTCAGTATTTTACAGGGATGTATATCTTGACCCCAGACTCTAACACAGTTTGGAATTATACTGTGTTTGTTGGTTTTATTGTTGATTTTCTAGATGAAGGAAGTAAATGATAAAATCAAACAATTAAGCAATTGAAGAAAACACGAGTTTGAACCTAAATTAAATTAAACTTAACAATTCTGTATCTGCTTAGGCCCTATACCCGGGTTACCAACAACTCTGTACTATATGAGGGAACCAAATCTGCAATAGCAACACAGGGGTTTGAAGCTTCATCACAGAGCTACATATGGCCACTTCAATTGAGGAAGTGCATATATTTAAATGTGATTTATCTTCAAGCCCTATTCAATGATGGGAGAAACGAATAGCTCAAATGCATTTTTCAACTTGATAAATGTCCAGAAACTCGTGAATTTTAGGAAAGTAGGACAATACAATCCAAAATGGGTTCTTAATTAGGACGCAGTTAAAAAGCATGTTTCGCTCCATTTTTGTCTAGATTTTGAAATCAATACTTTCTTGTAAAAGGGTTTTCAAGGTTACACGTTCTTGGAAATTTTATCATTACCATACATAGGTAGACAAATAATATAACCAGATTAGAAATCAAAACTCATTTTAACAAAGATATTGCTAATTTGGCATTGAAATGAGCAAACCAGTGTGGTTTCTTATTTCGTTAGCAATTTTTGAGTCCTAACTCCTTAATGAAAAGGTGTAGAAAATGCCGGAAAGTGCGAAAAAGTATATCAAAGTGGGGATTAAGAGTGTGAAAATGGATTTGGTCTCATTTCTTGAGCGGGGTCTTATGGAAATAACCTCTCTACCCTTTTGCTAGGGGTATGGTTTGTATACCTTTACCTTCGGTCCCAATTTGTAGGATTTACTGGGAACTTTTTCCTTTTTATAAAAAACAAACCATATTTAATTTGATTTTCCTGTATTCTGTAATCCCAGCCTCAGCAGAACCTTGAGGCATAGGCAATGAGGTGTAGGCCTTACTCCCCCAAATGGCATGAGTCATGAGTGCCACCATTACTCATAGAGTCGTAGGATTAGCCTCCAGACTCAATGATGCCCAAATATCTGAAGGGTGCCTCAAGGTGCTATTGTGCAATCTAATTTCAAACGTCGGCATGTCGTACTCACTTGTTAGCACTGTGAATTCCGGAAACTGGTCCATAGTTTTTACAGAACGTGATGGCGCTCTTCATCGGGCACATTGGGGTTTGCATCACCGTGATAAGATACCATGAATCCATGATTGATTGTTCTTTTTGAAAGTTTCCACAACCAAAGACTTCCCGGATTATGAGGCATTATTGTCTAGTGTCTACTGCACATATTAAAAAATTCTGGACAAAGTGGGAAAATGGTCTTGTATCATTTGTATGTTGGGAGTACTGTAAAGGTGAACAGATTTGGGAAGATAATGTCAAAATGAAGCAAATTCAGGATACAAGTGTAAAAGTGTATGGCTACCTGAACTGTGTTCTGCGTGAAAAGTGGCTACTTTACGTCAGAGGGTGATTGGTGGATAACAGCATGACATTCTAATGATGAATGCCTGAGAAGGTTTTGACTACGTGCTAAATGTTGTCAAGACATTGTTGATCACCAAACTTGTCAAGGCAACATACAACAAGGTGGTCCGAATGTTCACACACCAATGTACCACTAGTCCCGACAACATTTGGAGGGAGATAAAGGGACAATAGCAATGAAGAATACATTACGTGGTGCTTCCTCACTGCCACACGACGGGGATTTACTTTGTTGTCATAGAGAGTGCATCTATTGGCATCCACCGGGCGAAGCTATATCAGTAGCTCTTTGTTGCACATGTGCAACTGCGACTATTGGAAGGCGAATAAGATGCATTGTGTACACCTTCATGCCATTTGCCACTAGAATCAAGTAATGATGGCTCCCCATAATTAAACTATTAAAGAGCACCAATGTGTATTCAGAAGAAATTATGGCATTACAAAGTGTAAATGAGTGGCCAAAGGTTAGGTACGCGGTACTGCTATTATTTACGAAGTATTTGGGAAGAGATGTTCCGTAAAGGTAAATTGCCACCAAATCATCAATGGACTAAATTTAGAAATAAGATGGAGATGTGTCCTAGTAACATAGCACAATAATGCTTTGACCCTACTTCGCAATTGTCTATTTTCATTAATTACGGAGTATTTAATAGTTATTTACATTAACTTTTTCTAAATGTCCATGCAATAGTGTACATTCAAAAATATCAAACCATATTAATGTTTAACAAAAGGCATACCAAACATTCCGCATACATTGGAATGAAAAGGATATTGAAATTCTTTGAACTGTTCCAAACTTTTGAAACAGATCCAGTTTTTTAATCTTAGATTTGCCAGTTTTAATTTTTTTCAAATATACTAAAAAACACAAAGCATCAATTCTACTTCAAGTTATTGAAACAAGAATTCTAAACAAACAAATACTGATGTCTATACTTGCTTTTCATATTAATAGTAAAAAACAGTTATTGAACCCCAAACAGATTACCCAAATGCATTCACATCAAAGAATTTGCCTAAACCATTATGTACGCAGCCATGAATAAATAATCCAAAACAAATTTTCCAAATCTGTTCGGCTTGTCAGACCCACTAGAAACGAGTTTGGTAAATCTGTTAAACACATTAGTGTAATTGACAAGAAATATTACCAGATAAGTAATCAAAAATTATTTTGGCGAAGCTAATGTTCAATTGCTAGGCCTGAATTAACCTATTTTGGTTCTCATTAGGAACTCAGAAACGAATTAATTACTCCGTATTCTTTTCCTATGTTTATCGTTTGCATTTATACATGCTATTAAAACTCAAGCCGAAGTGTTACCAAATGAAACGGTAGTGTGTGAGAGAACTTAAAAAAGAATCTTTCTTTCTTGGGATAAGTTGAACTCTTTACCATTTTATAGTTTAATTATCTCGACTCCATGTTTGCTGTCTCAACACGCGTCACTATGACTTGACTGGAAATCTCTATTAAGTTAATCTATAAGTTCAACTTGGATGCATTTACATTGCATATAACTTATGCTACTTCCGAAATGAAGAATTAGAAAGTCTTAATTATCTGATCTTCTTTAACTCCTAGTTTCATCTTTCATTTAATGAATCCAAATGAAGCAAGTTAAAAAATGTTACTCAAAAACAATAATACCTCAGGTGAAGTCTCATCTAGAGAGAGGCTTTTGCAGAAGTGCTGTCAAATACACCTCCTGATTCTTTACTCCGCTTGAATCAGTCTTGTTTCCAACAGCCCACTTCACCTTCTTGTACCCCAACTTCCAAATCAATGGCCGATATACCTTTTCAAGATCCAATCTTTTACTGAAGAAATGGTCCAACCAAAAGTACCCACCACCTCTCAACACCCTATCCACATCATAGAACAAGAATTCCATCATAGTGACCGGAATCCACCTGTTCACGGCATGCCCACACCTCACGAGATCCATCACTCCATCAAACACAGGCAGCCTCTGCTGCAATGGCACATGTAGTGGGACCAACCCCCTTAGTGCCACTGCCTCACTGTAGGGTGCCCCAAGATTCATGGTGGTGGTCACTACGGTAACGTTCTGAAGCTTCATTTGGGCCGCGAAGGTGCCAGTGCCGCCCCCAATGTCCAGTCCCAACCTGATCACACTCCCTGAGGATTTCGCAATCTGGAATAGTTGCGAGATTGACAGATCCAGATCCGACTTTGAAGACAAGAACCTCGATTGCTCGATTTTCATATCAAACCCTAACTGGGGGTTTTTCTTGGACAGGCAACCGAAGCTCGTGCAGTTGTAATTCTTCCAAATGACAGAACTTTCCAGCAAAGTGGAAAACGGATTTCTAGGGAGGGAGGATGGCGCGGCGGCGGTGGTCCGGGAGAAGCAGCGGCGGCGAGGAAGAGGGTGGCAGCCGCGGAGAATCAGAGACTCGGAAATCGCGGAATCGGAGGGGCAGAGGTGAAAGGGGGTGTAATTCATGTACTGGTGGAGCAAATCTGGGTAGTCTTTGCAAGCAGAAGCAATGGGAGACATGTGGGCGTAGAGAAGAAGATCGGAGGGGATAGCCGGGGAAGCCTTCTTGTCGGAAGACGGAGGATTGGGCTGGTGGAGGGAAGTGAGGTGGCTGATGGTGGCGCGTATGGTCTGGAGCTGGCGGAGGAGGTGGTCCGGGACGGGAGGGAGTGGCGGGGCGGAAGACTGGGACTGGATGTTGGAGGAGAGATGGTAGAGAGAGAGGATGTTGGTGGCTACCATAGCCATCAAGAGGAGCATGTTCAGGCCCATCGTGAACCCCATTTTTCCGGTTTCTATATTTTCCGGCGGCTTTGCTTTGCTGCCTCTTTAGCTCCGGCAGAAAGCTTCTGCCTTGAGCTGCTATGGGAGAAATTGGGACACTTCCTACTGAACAACAAGCTCAACTTTAAGAACTCACAGTGGAGTACTATGCCAAGGAGATTAGGAAGGAGATTATGAAATTAGGTTATTACAATCATCTTTGGTCAAAGGTTATTCTAGGGGAGAAATGTGGCCTTTAGTCTTTACTTATTTTTTTAAACTTTATTAGAATTATAAGATTAATTTGGTCAAAAATAATTTTAATATAAATTTTAATTAAAATTTGACAAAATTAACCCAGGAAAACTTTGACCAAACAAAAAAATCATAACAAGCTTCAATAGATTTAGATGAGAACTAGTACGTTTCACATGAAATGAACGGGACCTATATTCTGGATGCACCTAGATAAATCTATTAAGATGATAGCTTTAACATGTGCTTCTTTTAGCATTTTCCAAACATTATTAATGTAATATTCCGTGTTAAGATGGAAATGGGAAGAGGTCAAAAGGATTGATAGTACTATTCATACTAATAAGATGCATCTTCTTTTCGAGAGTTCATCACCTGGAAACTCCGAAGTTAAATGTGCTTTACTTGGAGCAATTTTAGGACAGGTGATCCCTTGAGAAATTTCTTGGGCATGCACGAATGATGACAAAGTACGCGGGAAAAATTTGTGTTTGTTTGTGGGGCCAAGCCAACCTACAATTTTATGAGTGGACGCTTACGGCCAGGGTGGGGGCTGGGGTGTTACAAAAATGCAAGACTAGAATGTTTAGTATGAGATAAAAATATTATTTTAACAAATTAAAGGTACAAATTATATTTAAAGACCATTTTTAAAAATAAAACTTTTTGTAAGGATGACTTAACAAAAAAATATTTTACAGGGATTGAAAATATATTTAACCTTTATATATATATATATATGTACACACACACAAACACACATATATATATATATGAAATAAACATTATAAATTATTTTGTAACACTTTTAAATAAATACATAACTTTTTTTACTCAAAAATCAAATAAATTTGAGAGTGCAATTGAAGGGGGTGATGTAGTGTGTTTGATTTAGTGCGGGTGTGAGATTTACTGGGAGAGTTATGAGTGTAAGTATAGTCAATTTAACGAACTAGTCACTGTAGCCGTCTCGAATCATGTTGGGATTCCAAATTCCAATGTCATACCAACCCCAAGGTCTCGTTTGGTACATGGAATTCAAACCATGGAATTGGAATTGAAGACTTCAATTCAAATTCTGGTTTTTGGTAGCACAAAAATTATGTAGATTTGGAATTGATAGTGCAAAAAATGAATTGAAATTGGCAGAATTCAATTATATGGAATTGAATCCCGTGGAATTTCAATTTCAATTCAATTCCAATTCTGTCAATTCCGTATACCAAAGAGACCCTAAGTGAATTCTTTTGGTACATACTCTATTATTTTTGGTAAGATAAAACTTCAATCTGAGATGGAGTAATAAACTAAATAATGCTCTAACGATACGCCTTAATTAAAAAAAAAATGGTTTTCTTCAGTTCATCGGAGGGAAAATGAAGGCATTGGCACCCACAACCACCACTACCACCCACCATCAACGGTTGGCTACTTGGCTTCTCATGGATCCTCTCTGACTGAGACTTATCTTCCGATTCCCGATCATAATTCCAAGCTCACCGAACGAAGACGACGACTCGCCATCTCTCCTCACCATCATTGCTTCAGATCTCCTCAATCTTCCGTATATATCACTTTCCCTCTCGTCCTCCGTGTCTACACGCATACGCATTGCCTATTTGCCTCTGCCGGAGTTGTTTGTGGATCGGCGAGGATGCAAATGCGCGTTTCCGGCTCGGAATCTTCGCTGATTTGATTCTGATTCCTGCCGCATTTCGCAGTTTTAGTACTGTGGAAGTGGAACATGGCAGCGGTTTCTAGCCAGTTGACGCCTGGACAGGTGCGGTTCAGTATTCTACTGCATAATCCTGCTTTGTTGCTTTTGCATGTGTGTCTAAGTCTAGATATGCTTGACTGTTGAGATCCTGCTTGGAATCTGCTGGAGGTAAGTGTCTAGATGTTGAAGCCTTGAAGGTAAAGGGAAGTAAATTTGAGTGAAGTCAGAAAAGTTTGATCTGGGAGCACAGTATTCAACATTCTTTAGAAACAATGGTTAATTAAATGGTTTCCAGTCTGTGGTTTAAGCGTGCTCATAGGATTTTGTATTTACTTGTGTCTGTTTGAGAGAGATATGCTAATAAGCAGCTTTAACCAAGTAACCATATTGAAATAAAACTTTTGTAGTGCTGCCTATTGATTGCTTAAAACCCATGCCAACTCATGTCCCTTGCTTGGTCACAAAAAAGAAGGAAAGAATACATGTTCTTTGCTTATGTGTCGGGTCTTGAAACCGAAGGACCTGTTACTTGCAACAGTGCATAGATTATATAGTGAATAATGGTGAAGTGGAAAAATGGTGAGGGTTAATATTTGTGTATATATGTTTTTGCAAATGAACAACTTGAATGACCTTTGCTTATTTTGTACGGAGTATTATTTTTTTTGAATGTTGAAGACTGTGTGTGTACTGTGATTCCAGGTGAAAATCTTGAACGTAGTTTTTAGGCTTGATACAGCTAATCCAGTATTGCATTACAAAATGTCAAAAGCTGTTTAACTTTTGTTCCCTCGTTCTTTCTGTTTCTGCATAAAGTTTTTTGTTTGTTTTCGACCTGCCTCTAATTCTTCTTGAATACTTTGTTATGGTAATTGCTCACAAACATTAGCTTATCATGTTTCAGGTGTCATTTTTCTTTGGAAGTATCCCTGTAATTGTTGCTTGGTTATATGCTGAGTGGTTAGAGTACAAGAAGTCAGCGCCCCTATCTAAAGTGTAAGTTTATTACTCAACATGGAGACTTTCATTTTCACAAGCATATCCAAACTGGTAGAGAATGTCTTCCTTTTCATCCCTTATTGATAATCTAGTTGAAGAGTAGAAAAATATTGGAACTATACAATTTTACATGATGGTGCAGTTTACTAAGCAATAGTGTAAGTCAAGTGTATGTTATTAAATCAAAATCACAAATGGAATTATTGGACATTTGCTTCTACTGCAAAATTTCAGAATAAGTTTAAAGAGCTATGGCTTGAACAGTGCATGTAGTCAAGCATTAGCCACATCTTAAGCTACATATATAATAATATTTCATTTTGTCCTCCAGGATCTATTTGTGGTATTCATACTACTAAGGCTGATATATTTCCTTGCAAAGCCTTTTACATATGGAAGTGTACTATTCTTATTAGTGGGCACCTCAATGTTTAGTTTTTTTCATCTCTATTGGGATGCAGCCATTCTGACAGTAACCTGGCTGAATTGGGAAATGAAACAATCACTGATAATGACCGAGCTGTTTTGCTGGAAGGAGGTCTGTCAAAATCTGCATCCATGAAATTACCAAGTTCATCTATTAGAACGAACTTGATTAGGTCAGTATGGTTTTCTATAGACTTGAAATAACTTGAGGATTTTTTGCATTGTGTTTTGAGTATGCTTTTAATCTTTTTTCCCTTTTGGTTTTAGGTTTCTAAGAATGGAGGATTCATTCTTGCTTGAGAATCGAACAACTCTAAGAGCAATGTAAGCTATGGAAAATTTCTTCGAGTCTTGTTTTTTGAACGGTTTCTTGACCATTCATTAACTTTTGATCTTACAATGTTATGTAGGTCTGAAATTGGGGGAATCTTATTCTATTTTTACATCTGCGACCGCACGAATTTGTTTGCTGATTCGACTAAGGTGCTTTACTTTTATTGGTGCTAGAATTCTCTTCATGGTTTGACCATTGGGGATAATGTGGCTTTCTGCTCACAGTTTGCTGATATTAGCAACATACAATCATACATAACCTGACAAGACTCTTTCAATACAAATTTTTATGTTACAGCTTACAAAATATACTTTAAAAGTGAAAATTCAAGAGCTTTGGAATTATATTTATTCCCCTGTAAATTTGAAATGGTGATGTCTTGTTTATGTGCTTATTATTAGTGTTTCTGTTTTTATCTCAGACGTGTGCTTTTATCTTTTGTTGCATTCCTTTTTTTGATATCTTCAGCTTTTATTTCCTTGAACAGAATTACAACCGTGATCTATTCCTCTTCCTGTATATTCTTCTCATCATTGTTTCTACAATGGCTTCTCTCAAGAAACACAATGACAAGTCAGCCTTTTCTGGGAAATCAATTCTTTATTTGAACCGCCACCAAACAGAGGAATGGAAAGGATGGATGCAGGTAGGTTCTCCCTTCATGTGTGTTTCCTGTCATGTACTAGTTATTTTTTTATTCAAAGTGATGTTGTGTTGATACTCTTTTGACCATCACTCTATCACAGTCTCACTCTCTGCTGATGCACCACATTTATGTCGTGTCTACGTGCCTGAATGTTTGAATATAAGAAATTAATGTTTTAATTTGTTTTACTAGCTAGGTAATCGTACGTTTCCTGCCCTCGTTGAATGTAGGATGCATTTTACGCATCCTGCTTTATCCTAGTTAAAGTTTGACGTTGTCAGTTACTACATCTTAGATCTCTATTCTTTTCTTAATTAGGCTAGCAGCTCTGTTGTATTCAGATGATTGTCGGTTTGATGCATTTTCTTCATTCATTGTCACTTTATTATCTTGCTTGCAGGTTCTCTTCTTGATGTATCACTACTTTGCTGCAACAGAGATATACAATGCTATTCGTATTTTTATTGCTGCATATGTATGGATGACTGGTTTTGGAAATTTCTCATATTATTACATCAGAAAGGATTTTAGTGTTGCTCGATTTGCTCAGGTAAACATTACTGCAATCAGTACCATTATCATTAAATTTTAAAATCTTGTGATGTACATTATCTAAGCATGCTATCACATCATTTATGCAGATGATGTGGAGGCTGAACTTTTTTGTTATATTTTGTTGCATTGTTCTTAACAATGATTACATGCTGTACTATATCTGTCCAATGCACACCCTATTCACCCTGATGGTGTACGGGACACTTGGTATTGGCCACAACTATAATGAGATAAGATCA